CTAATTGAAGATTGAATTAATAGGGGATTTATGAGCCAGCTACACCCCAGCCTCACTCCAGTCCTCACCAACTCAGCTTGAAATGGTCCTTTCTTTTCTAGTCATCAAAATAAATGTTACCGTGTTTTAGATAACATGTTTTCTTTCTGGTAACGCATGCCCAGCCACTTCTAGTTGACTACGGGAGACTTGCCTGTGAGTGAATGGGCCTCTCCAATACCACAGTTTTATTTTCAGAAATTGTGGGGCAAATAGGGAAGTTATTGGGAAGACAGTGGCTGATAGAAACTAAAGGTGAGTTTGGTTCTGTCTCCTGACCCTCGCCCGTCTGTACCGGTCAGCAGTCAGAAATGTCTGCACCTGTCAGGCACCGTCCACCCTGACAATAGATGTGCGGCTGTGAGCAGCCTTATTTCGTGGCTGTGGTGCGTTGTCAGTACTTGGCTTTCCTTTGCCCAGAACAGGTGCTGTATCTGCTAATTGTGTTTTAGAAAATCGGAAAGGTTTTTAAAATGGATTATTTAAGAAAGGCACCAAAGCTGCCTGTTTGTACTCTTCTGCTGCACGTCAAAGTGCGTTTTGTAACAACCTAATTGTCGTGCTATCTATTTCAAGGGGAAATTTATCACGTCACAGTACGTCTACTGTTTGGAAGAAATATTTGAGGATGTGAGCAGAAAGTATTTTTACATAAAGGCTGCAGGCAGTTCAGAGTACTGACATGCATACATTTTCATCCCTGCCATTTACTTCCTTGCCTCACATAAATAGGTCATTATTTCATTTCAGCCATCGTGTGGCGTCTCAAAGTATGGAGCTCTATTTAATATAACTGCTGTCCAGCTGACCCGTATAATTTATTGGTGACATCCTTGGGCCACCATCATCAGCCAAGGCAGTTAGATATCTTTCAGCAAAATATTTCATTATCACTTATAATAGTTTTAGATTAGCATTACAACCCTGTTAACATAGCTAGGAATTGGCATTTTCCGAGACAGGATTTCAGGTCGGCCTTAGAAATTTCAAAAGATTAATACAGCAATGATGGTCCGCCGTGGACTTGCAGAGCGCCGTGTGCCAGGCACAGACAGGGCCAGCGCTGCAGAGGCCCAGCTGTCCCTGAATGGCTTACCCGTAAGGACACATTAAGGTGATCTGGTCTTACATTACTCAGCTATAAGTAATAATTAAGAATATTCAGACTTTCTCAGAAACAAACAACCCCTCGGATTTTGTTTTATTACCTTCATTGCTTAAAATCATGGTCAACTCCTCTCTCATCTCTTGGGCAAATATTTTGTAGCCTGAATATGAATAGAACATGCTACTCAGAATATACTAGGATTCCAAGTAAAGACTAAAAGTACATGGTTATTTCCACAGGAACTGTTTATTAAGAGCATAATTGAATTGCAACTGGCTTGCAGCCACCGTCGGTGCAAGTGGCGGCGTCTGCAAGCCTTGGTTGTGCTGCTGTGAGTCAGGCCTGCCGCCCTGTCCCTTTTGTAAGTGGAAGCTTCTCATTTGTGCTGCTAATAACCTGAACTTCCTCAGACAGAGGCGCCTCCTGCACAGCCCAGTAGACCCAGTTTGGTATTCTAACCTCCTCCAGGCAGGTCCCATGACTTGAGAGGGTTACAACATCTGAATCGTGCAGTTTAGTTGTTCCTTCGTTTTCTTACTAGATTGGGTTTCCCCAAGGGAAAAGGGTATTGTCCTCTCCGCACAGACTTCTACCAGGGCCGGCCAAACCACCTTGAAGAGCTTGCTTGATGGGCAAGAATTCCCTTTCCTTGTTCTTTTCTCAAATCTGGGAATGAAGCGCTCCCTTCAGAGGAAGGGTTCTCATCTACGAGGAAGAGTAAGCAGCCCTTCATCTCTCCTGGTCACTTTTCCTCTTGCTGCTCCTCTGTGATACTTCAGCCCACTCAGCTTTCCCTCCGGGCCAGGCCGGGCAGGCCTGCCCTTACGCACCACAGCCGGGGCCCGCCTTCTCACACCCGGATCAGAGATCTCAGGGTGGGTTTCATTTCGGTTTATTCCCCAAGCACCAAGAATTATTTATCTGTGGCTAATAATTTCTCCTTATCCCTCTGGTTCCCTCTTTTCTGATCCTCGCCAGTGGCTGGTTTATTTCTAGGTGGATTTGGCTGAACGCCACCTCAGACACCCCTTTGCAAGCTTTCCCACTCTGGCTTGCCGAAAGGGTCCTCCAGCAGAACCAGGGTAGCAGGTGGAAACCCTTCATTTACTCTAATTGCATCTCTTTCTATGCTGTCTCGTTGTGGGTTTTTTTTAGACTAGTATTTATCGTTGACCTTTGTTTCTTAATGTGACAGTTTTGTAAGGGAGTGACTAAGCTATGCTGAGTTGATATATAATTACATAGAGAGCTCCCTGAGAGCAGGGACACGGAACCTTCGTTCTTGTATCCACCCTACCCCCAACATCTACTAGGGGGTT